GGCTCTGGATGGAGGTAGGGGAAGTACCTCGGTGAATGACACGAGGCCTGCCAATCAGGACGTTTCACAGCCAGTGGAGGGCGGGGCATTCCCCGGTGAAATCACAGGATCCCCCTCCCCCAAATGCTGCTGCTGAAGGGAATGGCTGCATTTCACCTCCTCTCCCCCCAGAAGACCAACGATCAGCTGCAGCCCCTCCCACCCGCCGAAGAAAGCCCCCACATGTCCAAAGACCATCACCTTGGCTTTATACGCCCTCCACCGCCTTTGGATGATTCGAGCTGCTCGTTCCTTCCTGTGATGCGGGGGAGAATGCGGTGGCGAACGACCAGAGTGTGAACTCCTTGAATGTGGCACACTTCCCGGGTGGGATCGGTGACTGCTGGTGGACGATTCCGGCCGGCTCTGAAAATAAATATCAGGGAGAGCATGAGTGGACAGCCAGCAGTTAAAGAGGGGAGGAAGGGTCATCTCCTTCCGCAAAGGCAGCCTGGGCCTGGAGAACACCGGCTACGATAAGAGCTCACGGGTGTCAGCGTGGCGACCAAAGGCCAGTCTGGTGTCGTGGTTAAGTGCGCGGACTCTAACCTGGGAGAACCGGGTTTGATTCCCCCACTCCTCCACTTGCACCTGCTGGGTGACCTTGGGTCAGTCACAAGTTCTCTCAGAGCTGTTCTCTCAAGGGCAGTCCTCGAGAGAGCTCTCTCAGCCCCACCCACCCCACAGGGTGTCTGTTGTGGGGAGGGGAAGGGAAAGGAGATTGTAAGCCGCTCTGAGACTCCGACTGGTATAAATCCAATCTCTTCTCTCTTCTTCTAAAAAGAAATTTCTGTCAACAGGGGGGATGGACAGACGGACGGACTTTCTGGCATTCCCTCTTCTTGTCGCAGCCTCAAATATCCCTCCCGTGCTGTTCCTGAGGGTCCCTCAACCAATGTTCCCTCTAAGAGCTGTGGAGTCTTATGAGCAAAAATTCTACTTTGTGAGCTACCAGCATTAAAGCTGTGAGCGAGCCGTTTGGCTACTGCCTAAATCAGTTTGCGCCGTAGCCCATCCTTCCTGAGCTAAGACAAAAAATGTGTGAGCCGGAGGCTAAAAAACTCTGAGCTAGCTCACACTAACTCAGCTTAGAGGGAACAATGGCCCTGACCACTTGAGCCACCTCAGTCCCCTTCTATCGGTAATACTAGATTTAAAATAATTAAGAAGTCACCACTCAGCTGCCTTTATGTGGATTCTGAGATTGGCAAAATGACAGAACGTTTTGGGCTTTTGGTGTATGGACCTCTGGGCACTACTCTCTCTCTCTCTCTCCCTCTAAGCTGTGGAGTCTTGTGAGCAAACATTCTACTTTGTGAGCTACTAGCATTAAAGTTCTGAGCGAGCGATTCGGCTGCTGCATAAATTAGTTTGCTCTGGAGCCCTCCTTCCTGAGCGGAGACAAAAATGTGCGAGCCGGAGGCTCAAAAACGGTGAGCTGGCTCACACCAACTCAGCTTAGAGGGAACACTGCCCCCAACCCCCAGAACTGCGTTTCGGGGACGCTTTGGGATGCACTGGGAAGGGAGGGAGGTTCTCCCCTGCAGAGGGAAATTCCTTCTGCCGCGGGAATGCTCCAGGGGTTCCAAGCCATTCTTTAGGGAGGAGATGAGTCTCTGGAGAAGCCAATGGGCCAGTTGTTCTTCAGCTGTGAGCTGGACCCTAACCGTGGCCAGGAGAGAGAAAGGGTGGGTGAGAGTGAGTGGGGAAGGAGGCCGGAAGGCGAAAACTGGGCTCAAAGGACTGGGCAGGGGGTGATGGGGAAGACCTCTGCCTGGAGAGGAACTGAAGTTCTTACAAAAGAAGAAGTCGTAGCCAAGATATTGGAAACGGCTGAGACGGACAAACTGACTATGGTCTTAAGAGGAAATGGCAGAGAAGGCTTTGAAAACACACGGTCGAGACTTTATGACTGGCCAGAAGGAAATAATCACTAGAACTCCTGGACCTCCAACCAAAACGAAAAGAACTGAGAGTCATGGATTAGAATATTAATAAAAAATGTATAATACGAAAAGTAAGGAGGGTAATGAGGATACTTTGGAGTAAGAGATGAAGCCAAGGTATTCTAATAATATACTTTATTGTCATTGTACATAGTACAACGAAATTAAAGGTGCAATCATTTCGGTGATCTACAACCATACTCATATACACTCACACAACCATTCACAACCATCCCATAACTCCCTTAAGGTTCACATTGCAACTTAAACCACCAATGTCACCCAAATTCCCATTTCATACAGCATTTAAAGCAATAATAGCTCTCGAATAAAAACTCTTTTTAAATCTGTTTGTCCTTGTTTTAATTGTCCTATATCTTCTGCCCGAAGGCAGCCGTTCAAACAGGGAGTGTTCAGGGTGTGACAAATCCTGCAGAATGTTCTTTGCTTTTTTCAAGCATCGAGAACTATACAATTCCTCCAGGAACGGGAGAGGGCAGCCAATAATCTTCTGGGCTGTGATGATAACTCTCTGGAGTGCTTTCCTATCCACAGCATTGGGTAAATTGATACAGCTGTAATCTCCCTGTTGTCTGTGTGTGTGTATGTTTGTTATGTCTGTTATATAAATGAAATAAAAAACTTTTTTAAAAAAAAGAAAAAAGGGAAAGACTCGTGCCTGAGACCCCGGAGAGCAGCTGCCAGTCTGAGTAGACAATTCTGACCTTGATGGACCGAGGGTCGGGTTCAGTAGAAGGCAGCGTCATGTGCCCACGTGTCTTGTCGGCTCCAACCGGCACCATCTCTCCAAGGTCTCTGGCAGAGGTCACCAAACACCTGATCTTAGTTATAGCCAGGGCTCTTTTTGTAGAAAAAGCCCAGCAGGAACTCATTAGCATAATAGGCCACACCCAACAGCAGGAACTCATTAGCATATTAGGCCACACCCCTGACAGCACAGCTCATTAGCACATTAGGCCGCACCCCCATGTTACCAGGAGTGTGGTCATCCAGCCACACCCACCTTTCCCTTCTTATTCTGTTTACCTTGTTTGCTGTTGTAGCAGGAACTCCTTTGCATGTTAGGCCACACACCCCTAATGTAGCCAATCCGAATGAGTTCCTGCTGTTGGGTGTGGCCTGTTATGCTAATGAGTTCCTGCTGGGCGTGGCCAACTCGGGAGCCAGCCGGAACTCCGTTCCTGTGCGTTCCTGCCCCAAAATAGCCCTGGTTATAGCAATAGCCTTCTCTCTCTCTCTCTCTCTCTCACTCACACACACACAGGATAAACTTAGAATCCAACATTTGGCGGGGGGAAAAGCACCCTTAAGATGGCAGCGATCCAAGAAACCACAAAGGCCGCAGTCCGACAATGTGCGAGAAGCTACGCGGCTTTGTGGGGAAAGAGCCTACGCCAGCCAGCTGGACCCGTACCTGAAGGGGAGGCCCCGTGCTCTCGAGCCCGTCCTGTCCGCGGGTCACTCCGTGCTTGGCCTCCAGTTCGCTCATCTTCTCTTTCAGCTTCTGGACCTCTTCCCTGACAAAGCAGGAAAAAGAAAGAAGGCATCGTTTGCCCTGAGGTGCCTGTCGCTGGAGCCCCAAAGCCCGCAGGACAGCCTCCCAGGGCCGGCCCCGCAGCACAGGCAGGCCCGGCAGTGGCTTGAGGCAGACACATGCTTTCTGCTGCGCCAGGAACTCATCTAGGTATTTATTTAGACCCCCCGCTCTCCTGGCTTTCTACAAACTGTGCAAAACTGAATGCCCCAAGAGGGTTTTTCTGTGCAGGATAAACACGCATTGTGCTCAGTGATTCACAAAGTTGCGCGGGTAGATTCTTGGGGACCCCGGTCTATACGACTGGGTACAGCTTGCTGGAACTAGGCTCCCCGCTATGGGATTTGGCATCGTTCAATGTGCCATGTTAAGACGCGGGCTTTGCTTCGGTTCTGTTTTCAGGCTTCCGGCTGGTTCTACAACCCTGATGGAGATTCGAACCTGGGTCTCCCAGATCCCAGTGCAACCACTATGCCATGCTTGAGACCCAAAGGGGCATGATCTGGGATCCCTGCCAGCCTCACAGAAGAATGTCAGGCGAAACACCCTTCTTTGGTGATATTATCTGGAGCCCTTGGATGTAATTCTTACTGTGCTCAAGGAAGCGGAATGCTCTTGGAATGGCTCTGGATTACCTGACACTGCCCCGGGCTAACCCCATCCCGTCAGACCTTGGAAGCTCAGTCCTGGCCCCACTGGTGGACCTCCTGATGGCACCTGGTATTTCTGGCCACTGTGTGGGATTTCTGGCCACTGTGTTGGACTGGATAGGCCTTTGGCCTGATCCAACATTGGCATCTCTTATGTTCTTATGTTCTTATGTTCACTATGCCATGCTTGAGACCCAAAAGGGCATGACCTGGGATCCCTGCCAACCTCACAGAAGAATGTCAGGCGAAACACCCTTCTTTGGTGATATTATCTGGAGCCCCTGGATGTAATTCTTACTGCTGCTCAAGGAAGCGGAATGCTCTTGGGGTGGCTCTGGATTACCCGACACGACCCCGGGCTAGCCCCATCCCGTCAGACCTTGGAAGCTCAGCAGGGTCGGCCCTGGCTAGTATTTGGAAGGGCGACCTCCAAGGAATGTCAGGGTCGTGGCGCAGAGGCAGGCAACGGCCAACCACCTCTGGAACGCCTCTTGCCTTAAAAACAAGTCTCGCTCGCCACCTGGTGGTGCAGAATGCTAAAAAGAGCTAGAACTTCTGGCTGCCAGACACTCTTAGGATCTCCTGGGTAGTCCACGCGCAATGCCATGCGGTAATTAATTAAATTATTACCCGACATCTGAGAAAACTAGTTAAATATTTTACCCCAAGCCTTTCTTACTTTGCAGCTGCGCACACAACCTGACGTTAAAATCAAGTTCTATGACAAGCCTTCCGGAGACTCGACTTTTCTTAATTAAAAGATCCAGAACCGGCTTTCCCAGACTGATGCCTGTCCAAAAGGGCCAGCAGCAAAACCATCAGACAAACCATCACCGGAAGAGACCTCCACGGTCTTTTAGCCCAGCCCCCTGCACAAGGCAGGAGGGTCAACTGAGACTGGCGACGAGGGTGCGACACGGAGGTCCTAGGAGAGGGGGTCCCTGTCCCAAGGCTCAGTTTAAAGCAAGAGTCCCCAACATAGCGGTGCCTGCTGACATTCTTCCTGGCGCCCACCAAGTATTTTTAGAGCGGGGGGGTGGCTTTTGCCACTGGAGATCTGCCCTGCGTCACCGAAGGCAAGCTACGGCAGCCATTTTGCGGCTGGCTCCACCTCCCGCGGCAGCCATTTTGTTGCCGTCACTCTGCGGCTGTGCCCGCTACGCTGCGTCAGAATGCCAAAGGGGCCCACAGGCTCACAAAAGTCGGGAAGCCCTGGTCTAAAGCCTCAGAGCAGGCAGCCTTTTAAAGGCCCACTTATCAAACACGATTTCGAGACTGTTTTTCGACTGCCTCCCCGGCTGCAGGAAAGAGGGCGGGCTTCTTTGGTCAGGTGACCAGTGTTCCCTCTAAACTGAGTTAGTGTGAGCTAGCTCACAGTTTTTTAGCCTCCAGCTCATACATTTTTGTCTTAGCTCAGGAAGGAGGGCTCCAGAACACACTAATTGATGCAGTAGCCAAATCATGAGCTCACAACTTTAATGCCAGCAGCTCACAAATTAGAATTTTTGCTCACAAGACTCCATAGCTTAGAGGGAACATTGCAGGTTACCCCCCCCCAGACTTAACTCTTTTGCCGCCAGCTGATTCCGGAGGACGACCCGTTGGCCTTGCAGCTTCTTCGCCAGCCTGCAGGCGTGGTCGCACTCGCCCGGGGCCTCCGATCCCTTAGCAGCCGGCCGATCCAGGCGGGAAGAAGCGGGTGGGGTGAGGGACGGCACCGTGCCGGTCTCCGAGAGCTGCGGCTGGGCGTTCTCCATCTC